AGAAGAAACGCCTTATAGCATTGCTCACTCTGGTGTCTCATCACAACGAAACAAACGTTTTTCACTTCACTTGATCCGCGTCTTTCGTGTGGCTTAAGCATGAGTGCTCACAGGGTCACGCAAATTAGGATGCGTCTTTTAATGCAAATTATTGTTTGAAGTGACTTGAAATGATTTGTTCATGAGGTGATTTTGAATAGGGGCGCTGAAGAGCCGCAAAATTGATCGGAGAGAAGGTAAAATTCGAATTTTCAGTATAGTTTTCGCTCTGTTCCACTGTAAACAAAAGGAATGATATATTCGAACAAAACTGAAATGAGAAAGCTTGATTGAATATCCTTTCTTAAATTGCGCATTGTCTCTTGTGACATTCATAAATCATATATAAATTCTTTTTTAAAAATCATTCATGAATCATAAATCAAAATCATGAAAAATGTTCTTTCTTCTTTATTTGACAAACAAACGTGAGCGACTCAGATCGGAAAAGAGATTGTGACATCTTCTGAGAGTTTTTGTCCATCCTGTCGCAATGTGAACCGCGACGTGCGTGCATTCGAATAAGCAAATTGCGGCTAAGATCATTTGATGTAGGAGAAACATGAATTTGGATGAATTATGAAAGCTGCAGAACTTTTTGAATGCATAACTTTTTGCAATCAAGAACGCATAAGAAACCGACTGTTCAAGAGAAATTGAACATGAATTCAACGGATTGCTGTAAATGTTCTACGGAGCGGAGCCAGAAAACATTAACAAATTTCCAAGTGGTCCGCTACATCCCTCCTTTACTATGAGCATGGTGAAGTTGATTCATAGTAGTAATGAATAATGAGGGGAAATCAGGTTTGCGCAGCCTCTATTACGTGTTCCCTTCTAACGTTTCGTCATAGTCATGGCAACTATGGGGAGTACAAGAAATGCATCTGCTTACTTAACTATGAAATGTTCATGTACATCCTGAATTTGATGGACATAGTGACAGATTAATTCCACATTCCGTCAGCAAAAACGTCATCGCCAACATGAACGCCATATACTTGATGTTGGTTGAAGTTGTTGATTTAAAAAAACTGGCTATGCAGCTGAAACCAGCTGTGCTAAAATAATCAGGCATATTTGGAATGCTTGAACATACTTGATCATTTTGATAGGTCACCGACCGTCCCGATCCGCCCGGTCGTCCGATTGTGCAAGATCAGAATGTCGATTCAGTGCGTCTTCTTTGGGCGACTTCAATGCAAGACGGCGGAAGCGCTGTTCGAAATTACACAGTTGAAATGCGCAAAGTGAGTGAAATCCCTGAAGTGTTTCGCATGTGATAAAACTGATAATGAATGTGCACAAATATTTTCAGCACTGCGAAGTTCGTTTGTCGTATTGCTACAGTGGTTTACATTGAAAATTCAATTGAAATCATCAGTTAGCAAAGAAAATTCTGAAATTAGCAACGAAAATTCCGAAATCTAGCTTTCAGCACAGCTCTGATCACTTTTGGATCAAAACTGCAGCTCTTGAGCAGCAGCAGTTAAATCATTTTGACACTTTGTCAGACGAATGATTGAACATCTCCGCTAAACGTTTTGTTCTTGTCTGATTTTCTTCCGAGGCCTCTGCGAAAAATGGTTGCAAAGGCAGGATGGTTCCAGCGTTTCAATCAATCAAAATTTTTACATAAGCTTTCCTTTCTAAGGCAAGGCAAGGTATAAATTGGTGGGCGTGTTGGATAATTTAATGAGATGCTATTCATCATGTGTATGGTTTATTTATTTACGGATGAAGAAAAACTGACACTTCGCATTACTGAGAAATGTAAAGAGGTTGTCGAGAGCTGCAAACGGACAGTATTTGAATGGAGAATATATGAGATCTTGAGAAATTTTATCGCCTTATGTATTCATGTGCGCTTCCTTTTTCTGCAGTGACGTTCCATATTTAATCAATCATTGAACTTAATCGACTTCCCGCATTCCGAAGCTTCAGCAGTCTGAGAGCATATTTTGGAACATGAACTCAGTTGAACGCACAAAACAGGATTTGCTGATTTTGTGGGAGTGATTATTTGAGAAAATACTGAATGAAGAGGATTTACTTCGGAATTATTTTCTTCAGCATTAGGCGGGAACTCACATATACCTGATCAGATTTAGACTCATGAAGCATAAACAACTGTTCAATTAGTCGTTTGAGTTGTTTATGCTGAGCCACGTGCACAGAGCAAAATAGAAAATAATATCGCTACCAAGAAAGAGGTCAAAATAGCAATCTCAAAAATTATATGTATTCAGGAATCACAAGATGAATGGACAAAAGCTGAAGTTACAAAGCAAGCGTTCACGACGCTGTTCAATCTGCAGCCTGGACAAACGTACAGGTTCCGTGTGCGTGCGGATAACATGCTTGGCATAAGTGAACCGTCTGAGGAATCTGAATCGGTAAACACTCACCAGCATGTTTTTGACGGCACTGCTACTGCCGTCGCATTTGCAAATTCTTTTCGTGATAATCACATATAAAAGAGATTTTGCGAATGTTTGATGAGAAAATACAGAGAATAAAACAAAACTGAAATGGATGCTTAATTCTATCGGCGGAATCGACTTAGAATGCCGTTTACCTCTCGAAAGTGATCACAATTCTTCAACAACATTTTATCNTTGCAGATAAACTTGTCTTCTTCTTTTACTGTTAGGTTGAGCACATCCGGACATTCACGGATACTCCCCTGAAGTATTGTCAATTGCTTTCAGTTGGTCATCATCAGCATTAATCCCTTTATTTCAGGTGTTTATACCAGATGTGACCCGGACAGTTGCGGAACCAAGTGCCAAAGACAGGAGGGCATCCGAAACACCGGAATCGCTTGATTATGATCGTATGGTGACCGACATCAAATCCACAGATTATAGAACGATTGATGTTAATAGATTGCCAAACGATCTTCAGGCTAAGGTCCCTTTAATAATCATACCAGCAATCCAGCTCACTCCTAATCTCAACTTTGCACCACTCCTAAAACAAATTCAATTTGTGGTCACTTGAGACGTGGCCACACAACTGATACCAACCACATAAGGGAATCTCCAAGTTTCTACAGTTCTGCGGCTAATCCATACTTTCCAATTAGAGTAAAGTTTATTTCGTTGTGTGATCGGTTACCAAATACCGCACTTTTAGTATATAATATGTGAAGAACTTGGACGTGGAGCATACGGTACTGTCTATCGTGCAATTGAGAAGTCAACAGGTAAGACTTGGGCTGCAAAAATGGTGCAAGTGAGACCAGGCGTTAAGAAGGACGCTGTTCTACATGAGATCAACATTATGAATCAGTTACATCACAATAAGCTACTCAATTTGCACGAGGCTTTCGATCTTGGCAACGAGATGTGTCTCATTGAAGAATTGTGAGCTGGTTTTTTGTTTTGATGCTATTCGGTTGTTTCTTTTTTTTTCGAATTATGCAAGTGTCTGCAATGTGAACGATGTTATTTGCCTGCATCAATTTGTTTAGCTTCCTCATTAGAATGAAAAACAGAACAAATCTGCTGTGAATGGCATGAGAATTGCTGCTGAGAAATGAGCGAGCAGTGCAGAGAAATTTATTGCATAGCAGTTGGATGCAAACGAAGTGCTTTGAGAAGAGACTGCTTCGAAAAATGAACACTCATTGAGTTGCTGACGATGTGCAAGCTGATCTTTCATCAGTCACTTTTTTGGTTTCTGGAGTCTTTTTGGATTATAAGTCAAGGCGTTGTTCGCAGATATTTGGAAAACATAACAGCTGGTTTTTCCCTAAACGAGACGAAATTATAAAGAGAATGCCAATTCCAGTTGCTTTTTCCTCTGAACGAAAATAGCAATCACAATGCATTCATGCAAGCTTGAGCTGTGACTGACAGCTGCTCAAAAACTTATTGAAAATCAGAGCTGTTCATTTCATGACGAGTCGAAACTGTGAAAAGAATTTATTGAGGGAACATTCATCATCACTGTGTTCTGCAAATGAACACGCTTTCTGTTGATATCCTTCATCCATCAATTCTTCAGCTACGGATTCATGCACTACGATTTCGTGCTGAATTTCTCGACCGTTCACACGTCAAAATTGTGATCACTTTTCAGTGTATCTGGTGGCGAACTATTTGATCGAATTCTCGAGGATGATTCATTGATGTCAGAAGATGAAGTACGTAATTATATCCATCAGATTCTGCTCGGTGTACAACATATGCACCAGAAGGATATCGTCCATCTTGACTTAAAGGTGCGCTTAATTGTCAATTTTTTGTGTGATTTATCGTGTTGATTCATTCAGTGACCACTTCGACCACCAAAACCAAATAATTGTCAATTGCAGCCCGAAAATATTCTGCTGAAATCGAAGGATAGCACTGAGATCCGAATTATCGATTTTGGACTGGCCAGAAAGCTGGATCCGAAAAAGACCGTGAAACTCTTATTTGGTACTCCAGAATTCTGTGCACCCGAAGTGGTCAACTTCCAACCAGTCGGCTTAAGCACCGACATGTGGACGATTGGCGTGGTTACATACGTGCTGTAAGTTTCACTCCAAGTTTGTCAGGGGCTCAGTTGAAATTTTCAATGAAAGCATTTCCATCAATGAACTCTTTTGTCATGATAAATTAGGAGGCAAATTATGGTGAGCGAAAGAAAAGCATCGATTGTCATTGATCGCAATGATGAATTCGGAAAAGGTTGCATCAAATAGGTTAAAACGAAAGCAGCTGAAAAATGCAACGAACTGAAATGAAACGGTGGACAGGTTGTGTGCAAACAAGCCGGAAGTAATTAAGTTCAGAAAACGTTTCAAAATTCTATTGCTCGCAAATGCTTCTGCGACTCAATCTCCTAATCAAGGAGCTTTAGTCTCTGAGCACTTGATGATTTCTCAAACGTTTCCATTAATCATCACCCGTGCTGTTTATGAAACCCTAACATTCCACGTTGTCTCAACCGGAATCTTTGGATCAAAGCCATTAGGAAACAGTCTATCTACCGATCAACAGCATCCATTGGACTGACCACATTTGATGGCATAGACGTTTTCGTTAACCCTAATGTATGATCCGGATTGTTCAGACTCTCTGGGTTGTCGCCATTTTTGGGTGATACCGACGAGGAAACACTGGCCAACATTTCGGCGGCTGATTGGGATTTCGATGATGAAGAATGGCAAGACGTCTCTCCAATGGCGAAAGATTTTATTAGCCGTTTGATGGTCAAAGATAGAAGGTAGAGTGCAAATTAAGAGAATTTGTAAGAAAAGTGCAAAATATACTTATGAAATGGTTGACTTTCATCTACAGACGAAACACTTTTCCCCTTCTAGCGCAACAATCGGAAAAAATCTCTTCATCAGTGGATTTTCCTGCAATGTTTTCATCTAAAAAACCGATTTGTTTATGAGACAATGGCACACGTAGTCACTGAACAGACAAAAAGCTTTACACAATCTCACATTCTCATTTTCAGAAAACGTCTTACTGTAGCCGAAGCTCTATCGCATCCATGGATAACGGTGAGTCCAATTCGAACATCTTGTTTGATTCATTCAGATGAAAAGATCATACTTATATTCTGCGCACTATCATCACACAGTTATCATTTTCATCACTCAAAAAATACTGAGCAACTCACTGAATATGTCAAGTGAATAGGCATGGATTTCAAGTAGCATACAAGTAAACAGACAGCATGACCTTTGAGGGTATTATTCGCTCAACAAATCCCTCTGAATATTGTTCAGAAATATGAATATACAAAGTGAACACGAAGTGAATAATATAATAGAACAATATTGGAGAGAGGCGTGAAGCGCATTGAAGGTTTTTGTTTGCAAAAGTGCATGATTGTTTGCTTCGTTCAAATCTGGGCGGACAAAATAATGTGTCGCACTCGGCTCAGAGATTACAACATCGATTTGCATTGCTGAGAAAATTCGGAAAAATGATAATCGAAAAGCAGCAAAAAATACGCATTATTGGCCGTCGACAACAATTTTAATGTGTCCATAACAATAAGAAATCTCATTGATCAACTCTCCTTTGATATGCTCTTGTGCAAAAACCAATCATAAAACCAATGGTTTGTTAAGAGGCCTTACAAAAGCTGCCAATTTGCTTCGTCGTGTGTTTTTTCCGAATGTTTTTGTTTTCCCAACGTTCAATAACAAAATGTTCGCACTGAGTGCAGCTTATTGCATAAAATGTCAATGTTGTTGCTTTGGAATAGTTCAACGAATATCTCATGAAGATGTTGCAATTCGATTATTGCTTTCGAAATGTTGTTACGCTTACGATTGCGCTCAAAAAGTCAAATTCTCATAATCGAAGTATTCAACTGATCGTAAGCGAATCATCGCAAAAATATGCACTCGCCAATGAAATTCAATTTCCATAACAACTGCCTATATATTCAAATTATGGTTGTCCGAAACATACTAACTTTGTTTTCCTTCGTCGTTTTCTGCTCCTACTAATCCGATCCTTTGAAGGCACCGTTGTTGTCAGCGTTCGAGGATCTCAGTGCGCTCGTGAAGGTTTGCTCTTGTTCTCTAAATGTTTGCTGTTTACTTGGTGTTCTACAGTGTTTTAATTTCAATTGCAACTGACTAATTCAATCATATTGCACTTTCATGGTGTATTATAGTAATATTCACCGAGTTGGTTGCTAATAGAGATGCATTTATAATACATTTACATCCGCTAGTAATTGTCTGGAAGTAATTTTCGCTTGCATTCCATGTGTAGATTCTGAGCACGTCCATATTGTCGTAATAACAGTAGTAGTATTCACTGAGTACAACAACAGAAATGCACAGCTGGCCAAGAATCGCTGCATTCAGCAATGCAAACAAATCAGTGGTCAGAGAAAGTGCTTGAAAATATTCACACTAAATTTCGGAATTGTTTCTTGAGTATCACAGAAGAGACGCTCATGTGAAACCGCACGCTGCTTTACGTGAACTCTTACTAAAGGTTTATTGCTTGTGTAGAACTAATGATAATATGTGATTCAATAATTTATGACCTTAACGAATACCGAATGATATTGGCTCGACTCAGTCACGCATTAGGACAATATCGTGTGAACTAAATAGGAAACGGTCAAAAAATGGCTCATCCTGACTAAAAATTAGAGAAGTTTTACAATGAAAATAGCTTAACACAACAGATGAAAATAGCTTAACACAACAACAGAGCATACATAGCAAAAAACCAAGTTGAATTACAATATAATCTAATTGTAACCAAAAACAACGTGAGCAATTGAAAGCAATTCGAAAAATATTTACATCTTAACCAGCGCCAGTTAAAACCAGGTTATATGTGTATGGGGAATTGGAGCTGAATGATTCTTGAATTGAACCATGTTTCAGTGAACGGCACATTTTTGGAACTCACAATCATATTCTATGAATTCGTTGTCNCGTCACATTTCTGCTGCTCAAATTTAACAAAAAATTACTCATTGTCAGGAATGAATAGTGAAATGATACTATTTCAAGTGGCTTGTTAGTTGACATTGAACACTTTTACCAAGAAACAATAGAAAGAATGGTCTAATGAGGTACGCTCTGAGAAAAGTAATTGAAATCCTGAAACAAATGGTAAGAAAATTAACCTAAGCCTAACGTGATCAGCTGAATGAAGCCTAAATTTGTGAGGAAGAAGCAGGTGATCACCTTAGAAGCGCTTGTTTTGCCTGGTCTGTAACGCTTAATTAGAAAGGAATTAATGCTGTTAATTAATCGAAAGAAATTGGAAAATGCATCCTGACTCTGAATTTTCAATGGGGAGGTGGATCGTTAGTCGACTGATTATCATTGAGCAAGTGCATTTCAGTCTTATCTGCTCAGCACACGACATTTCAGTATGCATCAGCGAATGAAACTCTAATAAGACAGAGCAAAAAAAATTGACGAAAATCAATTGAAAGTAACGCATTTCACGGGCGATTTCGAAGAAAAGACTGAATTTTGTTGAAAGAGGTTCGGTGGTAAATGCGCTATTTTTAAATGATATTCTCAGCACTCCAAATGAGCAACTGCGCAANGTATGAGTGAACAACATAGGAAATATGCAGTGTCCATCAGCGCCTGCAGAATGCGTACACAGAAGATCACAATTGTTGAACGAAATACCCTCTTGTGTTATACCTGTAAGCGATCTTGTCTCCAGAATCACTTCATGAAACTTTATATACGATGGCTCATTTGCGACTCCAAATTCCGGTTGTCGTTCAAGGTTTTGACGTATCATATGATCTGTTGAACGGATTGAGTGAATCAGAAATTTTTCGTTCATATTTGGATGCTGCAGCTTTCTGCAGGAATGCGGGATTTCATGTGCTTTCAGAAGGCACAACCAGAGGTGGAGCGTTCAAGGATATCGTTGCGGCAGAAGCGTGATTTCTTTGCACGTAAACGTTGGAGTGATGAGCTGGTGCCGATTGGACGACTCGCAAAACGTGGCGCAATATTCAGACGCCTCTCAATGGATGGCGTTTTCGAACGAAGCATTAAATTCGGTATCGTAGCACAGTAATTAAATGCGAATTTCACTTAGAATCTTCGGAATAATTTTCAAAACATTCGAATTTTTCGTTTGCGTGCATTCCAGCATCGTTTCGCATGCATATTTTTATCAGTAGTTTAAACCGCGTTCATGAGAACTCATTTCCGACAGTGCTACTCTTTCCATAACGATGCGATGATATGGGATCTGCTTGCAAAGATTCCATACGAACGCACTTGAATTTCAAGTTTCAACAAATGAGTTTCATAGTTTATTCGAAATTATACATCGTTATTATCGATGGTAGGGTATGTTCCATGCGAAACGCGGAGTAATTCTCGCATGAGCAATTGGAAAATTCCGAAACGAGCGCGACATAATGCCTCCCAAAGAAAATCAGATCACTGTTCTCATCAGAGGTCTCATCAATCCAGTAATGACGCGCACATAACGATGAGAAGTTATCATCGAAAAATTATCAATGACTTTGAAAAGTTATCTTCGAAATTATCAATTAACGCAGTTATATTTTACTCACCAAAAATTTAGAAACTGAATATCTTCACGCAAATAGGAAAGTTTCAGCGAACAATAATCAGTGCGATTGAGTAGTTCGCAGACATTTAGTATGTTCTCCGAAGTCCTTCCGTGACACAGATGATGATTCGTAATTTGACTCAATGATGAGACAATGCTTCAAAATTTTCAGATACCGATTATGCACCAACTGTTAAACGTCGTCTTGAAGACATAGTCGCTAATGTCGGCGATTTGATAGCCACTCTATCTTGTGAGGTAGACGGTGTACCAACGCCTCGAATAAAATGGTTTCTGGCATTTATTTCAAATGAATTTCTTCCAAGCAGTCCATTTTTCTCATACACTTTAAAGCATAATCAAATACACTTCTATTTCAGCATGCACAACGTAGAACGTATCAGAAGAAATTCTATTGTGACATTCTAGTTGTAAGATGAAATTAGGAATGCAAGAGAAATAGATATGCATGTAAAACTGAATGAATTGCTCTTGAATCAGCGGCAGCTGGAATAGCAGCTTGCTGCTTACTTCTCAGTTGTTAACTACAACAAAAGGAATCGATTTAACAAGCTTGAGTGGCACTTCTAGTTGCGTGTGAACGATATATCCCATAATTCACAATCGAATGAAATAACATTCACGTTTACGGATAGTTTTCAGTGACATTACCTATGAGGGGTTCAGTGTTTATGATCTAATGATGATGATCGAAATCCAGTTGATAGTTACTTCATATGCTTCATTTATTCCGTGCACTAATTCATACTGCTCCTGAACCGATGATATTGTCAGGTTCAAAGACGATGAAGAGCTAAAAATAGCCGCAGAAAAGTACACATCATCGTTCAAAAAAGGCGTGGTGGAATTAGACGTGAAGAATATCGAAAAGTCCGATGAAGGTACCTACACCATGCGTGCCACAAATGAAATTGGCTCAGTGGAAAGTAAAGCGAGTCTTGTCGTTGAGGTGAGCGGTATAAAAAGATCTTGAAATTCTTACAATTACGGGTTTAGCATTGCACAAGTTATTTGCTGATCATTCACGTTATGTCACTGATTATGCACTAAAAGTAATTGCAGTTAGATGATGCTCATAGTAAATGTTTTGAGGTATATCCATCTTCGTGCAAAATGCGACTAATAAAAGCACTCAATGAATTGACATCTTTCAAGCAAGTGTATTTCACGTTTCGAATGCGTTCTAGGAAGTTAAAAAGAAGAAGAAAAAGAAGGATGATGAGAAAGAACCGGAACGGGAAGAGATTGTCGGTAGTGCGCCCACTTTCCATTATCAATTAACTGATCAAACTGTGAAACTCGGTCATCCGGCTATTTTAACGGTGACGAGCACGACACTACCCGAACCTGAGGTAGAATGGTTCCACGATACGGCACCTGTTGACATCAACAATCCCAAATACGCATTCCGACATAACAAAGGTTTACTCATCGAATTTTAGTTTATTCCTTGTTGATTTGTCCGCTCTTTGCGGTTCTCTGCATCACATTTATAGTCATTCTTGACTCCACTTTCGAATAGCTTAAATGAATCCATATTGAAGTGCATAGAACAATAAGCATCGAAAGCGATCAAAGAAAATTGTTGGCAAGTTGGATTTTCTTTTGGAAGGAGTTTCCTTGGTAATTCGTAGGATGCGACTCAAGCAGCCTGTTGCATAACATGAACTGAAACCAGCGACTGAGATAGAATCAATAAATAATATGAACCGAAATGCTTAAGGTCGCTGTGAACTGGAGATTCTTTCTTGTGAAGCCACAGATGATGGCAATTGGAAAGTGGTTGGAAAGAATGCGTTTGGACGATGCGAAAGCAGTTGTAAATTGACCGTTGAAATACCGAAAGATATTAAAGCACCTGAATTTATGGTAGGTTCAAGGGGCATCCATTCATGTAGACCATCTGAGCAGCTTTCAAGCTTAATCTGTCACGCACTGTATGAAATTTTCATCACAAAAAATCAACATTCCGAAAATGCTCACCCTCACAGAACGAATGCAACAGCACCCGTATGAACTGGAACAAATTGCTACTTTCAGAAACTCCTCAAAGACATTAAATGTACCGAAAGAGAAATGCTTGAATTGGAAACAACGGTTGATGCCAAACCAACGCCTGAGATTGTGTGGTACCGTGAAAACAAAGAGCTATACGATTGTGATCGATACAAGATCAAATTCGATGATCGTGTATGCTTTATTTCGTTGATATCGCATCAAATTTCAAAATGTTTCTTTAGTCGAACATTGACTTCCTTCCCTTTCTGATGAAGTCTTCTGAAACTTTCTTAGTGCCAATAGCACTGCATATGATAGTGTCTAAGGCTATTCTAATGTTGCCTCAACAATAGTGAAAAATTATGTCTCACAATGTTTATCCCAATGGATATATTCCTAGAAGCTCTTCGAAGAGATCCACCACTGAATGCATAACGCTTTCTTTTTTGATTTCTGAGTTAATATTGAGATTATTTTCGTACGATCTATTAGTGATGTTGTAGCTGTACTGTTAATCGCACTTTTCAAATTTAATATAATTTTCAGTGTCAAAAGTATTCGCTAACAATCGTAAACGCTTATGCTGAAGACAGTGGCAGCTATCGCTGTGTAGCTACGAATCTCGCCGGTTCTGCTGAAACTTCATGCGTGATAAACATCGAAGGTGCTTTCTAAGAGTGTCAAAACTTATTTACAAATAGTTATGATGGTCTCAAATTGGGATAGTTATTGTCCCCCTGCACAATGCATATCTTCAGTGTTTAAAAATTGTTACACGATCACCATTTGTAGATAAGTTCGTTTCAGAGCCAGAAAAGTCGTCTGTACGACAGCAGATTGATGAAAGTAAAGCGCCACGCTTCGAGATGCCATTAACGAATCGTGAAATTCCAGAAGGTTTCGAGCTGACGCTTGTATGCGCCGTAACTGGTTAGTGAACGTTCGATAATGATATCTTTTCACCTAGAATCGTTTATATCTGCTCCTCACAATTGCTATCTTCCACCTCAGTTCTTTTCTTGACTGAAGTACCTTCCATTCATATTCGGAACCTTCTGATGACTCAATTAAAATTTAAGGAACTCCATCTCCAACGGTTACATGGATGCGAAACGGCAAACCAATAAAACCAGATGATTGTGAAACCAAGGTCAAATTTTTATGGCGAATTGTTCATTGCTCCGTTTTCATTACGATCTATAGATCATTGGTTACAGTTGTTATTGAGTGTGACAGTACATTTATCCTATTCCAGTGGACCATAAAGTTCACAAAAAGGATTAGTCATTTATCACTGAAATAGAACGGGTTTTTTTGTTAACCACNTTTACAAGTGAGCAATGATTCTATTTTCAGTTCGAGAATGGCGTCTGTACGCTAATGCTTTCAACAACCACATCGAAAGATGCTGGCGAATATACATGTCTTGCAGAGAATTGCCATGGCTCAGCCAAATCTACAAGCAACGTGAAGATTCAACGTGCGTTTCGTTTGCACCAGTCAAATATATCTGAGCATCCATCCCTTTCGATCAGTGCTGTTTATTCAAAACTTCTGTTTAGCATGTGAAATATTGAATCGTGAAATGGTTATTTGATTTTCACTTTAAGCATCAACCGTCAAAGCAGAATATATTTTTAGCATTTGAATCAGTCAACATCAAACCATCGTTCAAAGAGCAGCTGATCGACGTGTCAGCAATCGAAGGTTCTGAGATAGCGCTAGAATGTAAAGTGATCGGAACACCAGCCCCACAAATAACATGGTATAAGGATGGCTTGAAGTTGCTGCTCGAGAACAGAATGTTGCAATATACCGACAGAAAAGGTGCTTTATGGACTCCTAATCGGCTTTTACCAACCTTTCAATTCATTTCCGATGGCGCTTCATTCAACTACTATGCTCATGAGTTTCAGGTTTGTCGAGGTTGAATATAATGAATGTTGTGATGAACGATGCGGGTGAATACTCATGTGAAGCGGTCAATCCACTCGGAAAAGACTTCACGCATTGTAATGTCAACATTGTTGGTAAGTTTCATTCTGTACGAAGTACTCGAAGGTACTCGATCGCGTAAATGGCTGTGTTTCATAAAGTGTAATATCTGCTTGATATCCACTTGCAATATCTTTTCCAATTTCTTCAATCATACTGAAATGTTTCAAACTCCCTCTCATGATGTAACTGTTGAAGAGCCAATGAAGATTAAAACTCTCTGCAAGATTCAAACTCAATCAACTCTCCAAAATTGAAACTACTCGTGATTTCCTGATAGTAATCTGATCTCTAGATATGGGTCAAAGCAATATACGCCGTTCGCCAACAAAATCCATTACTCATAGTCCATCACCAGTACGAGTATCACCTCAAAAAGAAGTCCAGAAACCACCTGTCATAACTCGACCGTTGAATGATGCTACAGTTCCTGAAGGTTCGTTTTT